ACAAAAGACTGGGATTAACTGCTCTCAGCTCCAGGAGTAGCATCTGATTGGCCAGTTGACGCTCCATCCTTCTGGCAATGTGATTTGTAGGGTGGAGTGATACTGACCCTGTAGGAGTGGTACATGCTGCTTCGTTTCTTCCTTCCAGATCTTTACACGTGATCTGTCTCTCTCTCTCTCTCTCTCTCTCTCTCTCTCTCTCTCTCTCTCTCTCTCTCTCTCAAATGTGCCCTCTCTCCCTGGATAATGGTGGCCCTAGATGATGAGGATTGTTGCCCAGTGGTCAGAGGATCACACTCAGAGGAGAGCAGATCAGGGAAAACTCCACAGAAATGGAGTCAGAATCTTGCAAATACTGAGAATTTCTGAATCAAATGATCCTTGAAGCCTATAATAACAAACCCATAAATTACCATTTCCATGTAGAACATTTGATTCAAATTGTTACTACTTGCAGCTAAAATTAAAATGTTAACCTCTTACAGTTGCCCCACACCTAACACCTAAAGCCACCAAATATTGTACTTTTTTGGAGATGGGGGTTGCTGGGGATAGAACTTGGGACCTTGTGCTTGCCTGGCAGGTACTTATGGTGCTGAGCTGTCTCTCTATCCCTAAAGCCACTAAATAGATGTTAACATTCAAAATATTTAATGATGGAGCACCAACCAATCAATAGTACAGGCCATAGCAATGGACCTGGGTAATGGAGGACCCTACTGGGACACTCTAGAGAGGACCTGGGCCAATAGTGCCCAGATCCATCTTGACCTGACTGCAGCCATCTTGAGTTGTAACTGTGATATTGCCCCTGAGGAACTTGGGCCTTTTTCCCACCCTGCATGATTTTCCAGCATGGTACATAAATAAAACCAGGAGAGTGTTTTGTGGAGTTTCCCAGTAAACCCTGGCCTCACTACCGGGAACATGCTGACATATTTGGTGTCAACCTGAGATAGACTAGATACAGTTTGGCTTGGAAGAAGTTATTTTGTCCTGACCTCTATATACAAGTTCCCTCTGTCTGCCCCAATTTGTGGTAATCCACCATTCTTTTTTTTTTTTTTTTAAATTTTATTTATTTATTTATGTGTGTGTGTGTGTGGCCAGCTCAGCCCACCAGGGGGCAGGGCTGGCTGGCATGTGGTGCTGGGGATTGAACCGCGGTCCCTGCGTTTTGCTAAGCTTGTTCTAAGTAGGTGCTTTAGACCACTGAGCCATCTCACCAGCCCCATAATCCACCATTCTTGCTGCCACCCAGGATCATGCTTTGGTTAGCAAATCCTCAACAAATTGCACTTTGGAGCTGGGGAGATAGCTTGGTGGCATAAGCACCTGACTGGCAAGCGCAAGATCCTGAGTTCAATCCCCGGTATTGTATGCTGTGCTGGCTGTGGAATCAGGTGTCACCACACACACCTATAATCCCAGCACCATGGAGGCTGAGACAGGAGGATCACTATAAGTCCAAACTGTAGCAAGACCCTGTATCAAAAAAAAAATTTTTTTTTTCACTCTGCAGTCTTGAATCTGCCTTCCTCTCTCTTAGGTTTCATGGCACCTTTTACCTACAGTGGGCCCCATTCTTTTGCCCTGGATATTTGTAGAACATGACAGGCACAGAAAGAACCAATTGGTACAAATATTTACACACACACACACACCCCAGTAATGGGGACTGAACCCATGAGGAGTTCTCTTGGGGCCTTTGCATTAAATTCCATTTCCAGCCCTTTTTATCTTGAGACAGGATCTGATTAAGTCACTAAATTGACTAGGCTGGGGTTAAACTTGTGATCCTCCTGCCTTTGCCTCCCAGAGTGCTGGGATTACAGATGTATACTACTAAGCCCACCTAAAGTTTGACATTTTGAGGACCTGTGTTGGACCTTTGTTGTGCAGCTGTGTTGGTACAAACCAATGAAACGTGAGCCCTTCTGAAGAGTCATGGTGGCTCATTCTGAAATGGGGCTTTATTTGGCTCTGAGTGAGAAGTGAACATTCAAGTAAAACAAAGAAAGGCCATGGTAGGGGCCAGGCTGCACTTTCGCGGTGGGCTATTATGAGAAGCCAAGGGTGGGCGAGGGCTTGAGGTGAGGGAGAGGCTCAGCTCGGGAGCTCCTTTGCTACAGCTTCCTCAGCGTCAGCCTTGTCCCCCTTGTCCTCCTTCAAAGTGACTTTGGAGGTGCCCTTCAAGCTGGCATTGCTGCTCATCTGTGAGGAGCTGCTGCTGGATGTGGAGTAGTATAAGGACCCTGAGGTGATGACGGTGTTCATCTTCCAGAGGAAATTATTCCAGGCCTTCACCATAAGCGGCCACAAGAGGCAGAAGGTGATGTAGAGGATCACCAGGCCAACAAACACGCTGGCGGACACCTGAGGCATGGGGGTGCAAGGCTTGGGTGCACAGCCCGGGGCCCCTGCCCACCCCGCAGGGCAGCTCCCAGCAGCCACTCACAAGGGCGATGGAGAGGGCCCGCCTGAAACTGAGCGGCAACCCGTGGATGTGCAGCAGGAAGTTGAGCTGGTAGTCACAGTATGTGCTGCTGTCCACACCTCTGGTAGGGGATGGGTCCAGGGTTTGGAGGCAGCTGGGGGCACCACCCTTTAGGACACCACCAACCTCCACCTGGGCCCCAAGGCCTGGCTCACCTATTGCTCACCAATACCTTGAAGTAGAATTCAGGTGAGAAGATGCTTTGGGGGGTCGTGTCATAGCATGGGGAGTTCTCCAGACACAGCCACCTGGAAGCCAAGTGTGGGCTCTTGTGCTGCCATCTATGCCTAGTGTATGCCAGGCCCTGATTTCCTCTCCATCCCACGCACCCAGCTGTCGTCTCAGGCCTCTCTCATCCACTCTTTCTTCCATTCATCCAGTGATGCTGCCTTGATCATCAGGAATTCAACAGGTTTTTTTTTTTTTTTTTTTTCCTCTGAGACAGGATTTTGTTGCGCAGTTCAGGCTGCCCCTGAACTCACTATGTAGCCTAGGCTGGCCTCAAACCTTTGAGGATTCTCCTGCCTCAGCGTGCCAAGTATTGGGACTATAGGCATGTGCCATCATGCCCAGCTTGAGATTTTGTTTTGTTTTGAGACAGTGTCTCACTATATTTCAAACTGGCCTCAAACTGTGTGTGGGCGAAGCTGGCCTTGAACTTGAAGCAATCTTCCTCCCTCAGCCTCCCAAGTACTGGGATTATGGGCACAAACCACCACACCAGCATCTTCTCTGTGTATATAGTAATCCAGCATCCTGTTGATCATCTTAGCTGGCGTCAAGGCGAATGAGCTGGCATCAGCTATGTTTGGGGTTTTGTTTTGTTTTGTTAGTTAAGTGGGGTAGGTCAATACTTTTTTTTTTAAATTTTATTTATTTGTGTGTGTGTGTGTGTGTGTGTGTGGCCACTCAGCCCACCAGGGGGCGGGGCTGGCCGGCATGTGGTGCTGGGGGATTGAACCGCGGTCCCTGTGCTTTGCTAAGCCTGTTCCAAGCAGGTGCTTCAGACCACTGAGCCATCTCACCAGCCCCAATATATATACATATTCATCTGGGGTTTTTTTTGCAGAACGGGGGATTGAACTCATGCCCTTGAGCTTGCCAGGGAAGTGCTTATCCACTGAGCCATCTCCCCGGCGGTCAATACTGGTTTTAAACAAGCTAGAACTCTTCATTATTATCGAGGAGCCACTACATCAATGAAAGTTCAACAATCTTCACTTAAACAAGATTTATGATACTGTGTTTAATTTTTATATGTTTAAAATGTTGAAATGTTTTCAAAGTTAACTAAGCAGTATTATAGGGCTGGGGAGATAGCTCAGCAATCTAAACTCCTGCCTGGCAAGCGCAAGGACCCAGGTTTGATCCCTGGTACCGCATGCTGTGCTGGCCCTGGAACCCCTGGCCTGCCATGCTGGCCACCAAAACCGGGCATGGCAGTGCAGAGACCATTCAATCCGTGGCATGCCATGCTGGCCCCACCCCCAGGGCTCGCTGAGATGGAGACTGAGACTGGCGTGGTGGTGAGCTCCTGTAATCCCAGCACTTGAGAGGCTGAAAACAGGATCACCACAAGTACCATCTGTGTAGTGGGACCCTATAAACCCTGTACTAAATACATTTAAAAGATAAATAAATAAATAAAAACACAGCCGGGCATGGTGGCACACATCTGTGATTTGAGCACTCTGGAGGCTAAGGCAGGAGCATTGCAGTGAGTTCAAGGCCAGCCTGAGCTACCCTGGGGGACAGATCAACTCTGTCTCAAAAACACCAAACCAAAAAAAAAAAAGAACAACAACCACAACCCTAAAATGCTATATTTATGCCAGGTGCAGTGTGCACAACTGTAATCCTATCCTTCTGAGAAGCAGAGGTAAGAGACTCAAGTTACAGCCCAACCTGAACAGTTCAGAACTTAGCCAGACCTTATCTCCAAACAGAGAAGGGCTGGCAATGTAGCTCGGTGCAGCATAGGTTGAATTTCATGTGTGTGTGGAGAGGACTGTATTGTGTCTACTCAGGATCTGATCCTGCAAGACAAGCAGACCCCACAGAAGGAAATGACTGGACAGAGTGAGCAGGGATGGGAAGAAAGGTGCAGCAGAGGCATGGGGAGGTGCTGGGAGGGGCTTAAGGCCTGAACAGAGAGAGAACAGGTAGAAGGGTCTTGACAGGGATGGAACCAGGAAGCCAAGAGAAGACAGTCGCATCCTGAAATAGTAGGGAAAGTCTCCTTGATGGCGGGACATCCCCCTAGAGAGAGGAGGAGAGTCCAGCGTTCCAGACTGAGGGTCCCGCTGTATTGTCCCTCCCCGCTCCCCAACACAAAGGCAGTTGGCCTAGCTTCTAGACCTAGAAGACTGTCAGAACCAGGATAGCAGGAAGGATGGCAGCCCTTCTGGGAAGGAGGGGGTGGGGCCTGGTGACTCACTGGATGCCGAAGCTCTGAGAGGACATGATATGGAATGCCCCGTCCTCCGTGGTCTCTATGGTCTCTGTAGTCCAGATGCGGCTATTAGTCCTGCGCAGGACAGTGAATTCAGGGGGGTGGGGCCTGGGCGGGGCCTGGGTGTGGGCGGGGCTGTATTTGCTTTCCAGACCCTATTGGTCTGTCTGTGGACGGGGCTGGTGCTCGGTGGGTGGGGCTTGCAACCAGTTTGAGACAGGTAGAGGTGTGAGGGGCTGCGAGGGAGGAAGGTGGGGCATGGTCACCCCAGCCCGGCTTACGTGTCCAGCGGGCTGTTGAAGCGGTAGATTTCCTCCTCGCTGTAGTCCCGAATGCTGTCCAGGGTGGGCCCGCCACCCACCACCTTCAGCATGTATCTGCCGGGAGCACGGGTGCTCGTGGACTGACACAGGACCCCCAATTCCAGCATCCCCTCCTGCGCTAAGTACCCCGAGACCCATGCAGGACAGGTTGGCTTCGCCTTTACCTGCCCATGAAACTGCCTGAGTCTCCCGTCACCAAATCTTGAACCAAGAAGAAAGGGTGGAACTCTGGGATGGGAAGGAATTGAGAACAGGAGAGGAAATGAGCGTGGCCCGAAAAGAAGTGGAAGTAGAACTGAGGCGGGAGGAGGAGAGATGGTCAAGGGTTGGAGCAGAGCGATGTGGACCCCACTGGGTAGGGGAGGGGGGGGTGCAGTGGGGGGCCCCGGGGACAGCGAACTCTGGCCGGCATGGGACAGAACACACGGTCACGGAAGAGAAAGCAGGGCATCTCGGGGTCCGGGTGCACGCAGTCGAAGTACTGTTTGTTGAGTAGGCGGCTGTGTTCCAGCGTGTAGGTGATGTCAAAAGCCAGGCGCTTGCCTGGGGGGCAGCCAATAAACACTGGCAACATCAGGTTGCCCTGGACAAAAGAAAAACGGGATGCTGGGGTGGGAGAAGAGTGGTGGTAGAGAAAACACTGTACCTTCAACACACACTAGAGCTAACTGCCTGGCACACCCCCAATTCTGTGTGTGTGTGTGTGTGTGTGTGTGTGTGTGTGTGTGTGTGTGTGTTGGGAATTGAGCCTAGAGTCTCTGTACTCCATCCCCAGGTCCTCTACTTGTATTTTGAGAAAGGCTTTCACTAAATTGCTAGTCTTCAGCTTATGATTTTCCTGCCTCATCTTCCAGAGTAGCTGAGGTTACAGTCATGCGGCACCACCCTTAGCAACCTATAGTTATAAGTACCACTGAGCGAAGGGAAGGCAAGGGAAGCAAAAAGAATGAAAGATGTGTTATGTACACGCTCCAGCTCCCCACAATAAATGTAATCATATGTAAACACGCACTAATTCTTTTTTTTTTTTCCTCGAATGCCTTCAGGGTACTTTTGGCCAGCGGGAGAGTTGTGAGGTTCGAACTCCAGCAACCTGAGGCTGACAGCTTTGTGGAAGCAGCCACTTAAAGGCCTGAGCTAGGGCCAGGCCCCCCACTAATTCTTTTTTAAGACAAGGTCTTATTATATAGTTCAGGCTGGCCTCAAACTCACAGAGATCCTCCTTCCTCAGCTCTCTGAGTGCTGGAGTTGGAGGCACATGCCATCAAACCTAGCACTAAGCATTTTTTTAGATGAAAAAAAGTGTAACTATACTTGTAACAGCTACCAACATTTATGTAGCTTCTCCTGTATGCAAGATACTGGGTGATACTCAAAGAATTTCACATATTCATGGCAAGGCATGGTGGTGCACATCTGTAATCCCAAAACTCTGGGAAGTTGGGGCAGGAGGATCAAAAGTTTGAGGCTGGACGGGGCAACGTAGTGACTTAGCACAATGCTGTCTCGAACTGGGGGGAGGGTGTTTGGGTAGGGATATAGCTCAGAGTGAAAGCTCTGGGCTTAATCCCTAGTGCCATGAAAGCAAAACAAAACAAGAGTTTTATATATTTAAAGTTACTTTGTCTTCTGTCCAGGGCTGGCCTGGGAGTACTTACTATATGGAGTGCATGTACATGGACACATCTTTAAAGCTCACAGATGTCTGTATGCCTCATTTTAGAAATGACAAAGTGAGGCATAGCATACTCAAGTAGTTTAGTAATTCCAAAGCCACAGGGTTTGTAAGTGGTAGAGTCAGGCTTGGAAGGACAGGTTGGTTCCAGATGCCTCTAGCGTGCAACATGTAAAGTAGCTCTCATCTCCTAATGGCCTCGCACAAGCTCTTGGTCCTACTTTGTAGACTTGAGCTTGGGCTTCAGTTCATCAATAATAGGCCAGCAGTATCATGTAACAGATGAGGAACTGGACCCCAGAACGAATCCCCATAACACTGCCTTCAGAATGAGAAGTCCCTGGGCCTGTTCGGGAATAGGGTACAAGCATTTACGTAAGAGACAAAAGGACACAAGACATCCTCTATGTTGATGGCAGCTAAGGAGAGAAGCTGGTAGCCATATAGTAAACACTCCCAGGCGAGCTTTGGACTAAAGACTTTATATCAATCAGCCCCTCTCTCCCTGTGAGGCGTAATGGGCATGTGAGACACAGTGTGCCTAGGAACCATCGTGGTTACTGGTACTTCCATCCCGTCCAGATGTCCAGGCTAAAAGCCTTGATTCCATCCCTGCAACCTCCCTTTCCTTCATACCCACATCCAATCCATCAGGATACTGTCCAACCTGATCTCCTCCTTGACCTTCCTGTTTCCACTCCCCTAGGTCTGTCCCTCCCTGCAGGCAACCAGATGGATCCAGTGAGCACACAAGTCCCTTTTCTGCTCTGAGTCCCCCTGTGAAGCTGTCTCACTCTGCATGGCCCCCAGGATCCCAGGACCAGCCACCATCCCTGCTCTAACCTTGTCTCTGCTCTAAACTCATCTTTGGTCACCTTGACTAAGTCATGTTCACTCCTGTGATTTTAGTCCAACCCTCAAATCTCACATAAACCAAGGAGTGCTGCTATTACGGCCTGCCTTCTACTGCCTGTTGAGACCTTGTCTCAAAATAAAAATTGAGCCAGTCATGGTGGTGCATGTCTATAATCCCAGTACTCTGGAGGCTGATGTAGGAGGATCATCATGAGTTTGAGGCCAGCCTGTGGCTGAGGAGATAGCTCAGTAGAATAAGCACTTGCCTGGCAAGTGCAAGGGCCTGAGTTCAATCTCCAGTTCTGAAACAAAAACAAAAACAACAATAAAAACAAGAGAGAGAGAAAAAGAAACAGGGAGAGAAGAAGAACAAAGCTTAATGTTAAGGACCTGCATTCAATCCCCAGAATAGAAGAAAGAAAGAAAGAAAGAAAGAAAGAAAGAAAGAAAGAAAGAAAGAAAGAAAGAAAGAAAGGGGGCTGGGGATATAGCTCAGTGGTACAAGTGCCTGCCTGACAGGCACAAGATCCTGAGTTTGATTTCTAGTACAAAAAAGAAAGATGAAAAGAAGAAAGAAAAAAGACAGACAGAAAGGAAGGAAGGAAGGAAAGAGAGAGAGAGAGAGAGAGAGACAGAGAGAGAGAGAGACAGACAGACAGACAGACAGACAGACAGAGACAGAGAGAGAGAGACAGAAGGAGAGAGAGAAATAAAACCAGTATGTAAAAGGAAGCCAAGCTGGCCACGTGGCACCTTTGTGCCAACTGGATTGGAAAAAGTAGCCCTGTCTCTCAGCTGCTTTATCTTCCTCTGCAGAGAAGTGCCCAACAGAAGGCACTTGGACAGACAAGCTTGTGTGCAACCTACATGATGTCAGCCCTTCCTAAACAGATAAATGGAGGAAAGCAATAAGTGGGTGGGTGGATGAATGTGAACATGAATGAGAAGGCAGGGAATCAGGAATGTAGTAGTGGGACTCCCAGAAGCACACTGGGACTTGAGCCCCAGCCCAACCACTCTTGTCCCGGCACAAGGCGCAGTATCCCAAGCTCTCGTACTTGCATGCGGAGCCCAAAGTGCGTGCTCTGGAAGCAGTGCCCAGAAGACCCTCGCACCTGCAGGTAGAATCAGGTGATTATGGTGGTCCCCACAGGCTGGGGCTTCCCCCTCACCCCGTGAACCTCCCCTCCAGGCTTGGACTATACCTTGACCATCACGGAAGTCTTCATGAGATGATGTCCACTAATGCCCTGGTCATAGCAAACCTTTTTATCCCTCAGCGTAATCTGGAGTGGGAAAGCGGGAGAGAACAAAATAAGGCCTATATGGGTCCAAGGCCCCAGGGAATGTTCCGATACTCCGCAGCTGGGGCAGCGGGGGACTAGCAGATCCATGGTTTTCCATTTCTCATGTGGAGGAATAGAGAAATAGCTCCCAGGACCTAAGAACTCTATACCCACCTTTTTTTTTTTTTTTTTTTTTTTTCATTATATCTTTTGCTTAGTACAACATTTTGAGAGAGAGAGAGAGAAAGACAGACAGACAGACAGACAGACAGACAGACAGACAGATAGACAGACAGAGACAGAGAGAGACAGAGAGAGACAGAGAGAATGTCAGTCTCACTTTGTATTTCAGCCTGGCCTTGAACTCACTACATGGCCCAACCTGGTCTCAAACTCTCAGGGATTCTCCTGCCTCAGGCCCTCCAGTGCTGGGATCACAGCCTACACCACTACTCCCTTGATAGCCATCCCCTCTCCCAGCCTCACCAAGAACTGCACCGAGTTTCGAATAACAGCAGCCTCCTGCTTCGCAAAGGCCTCAAGGCAGTGGGGATCAGCTAGCAAAAAGCCCACTGCCAGCTTGCGCTGTGCCTGGAAGGCGGAGCCTGTGTGGGGCACAGACAGGGGTTCAGGCCTTGCGCCCCTTGGTGCCTGGGTCCCAGACCCCGTCCTTCTAGAAGCAGGCACTAGGTGCAGGGTCAGCCCACAGACCTTCTTTGGAGCGCATCTTTAAGGAGAACTGGTAGGAGTTGCCCTTGTCCAAGAAAATGTACTGGGGCAGCTGGTACTGGGACTTGAGGTCATAGACTTTTTCATAGCTGGCCATGTCAATGTGTATGCCGCCTGCGCTCAGCCAGTTTCTTTTTAGATATAAGTAGTAATCCTGGTGGGTGCAACAGTCAGCGTGGGTATGTGGAGGCTAACCCCAATTTCCCAGCCCTCAGCCTTCTCCACATACCTGGTCCTGCTTCTTATTTTTCCACCAGCGCCAAGTAGGATCATGTACTGGGTCTGCATATGGCTACAAGGATCAAAGGATTGAAGGAGTGGGTGACGGGCCTTAGGCAGAAGGTATCTAATGCAGCTAGTCCCCAAACCTGGGCCTTTCTTTTGGGGTATTGGACATTGAACCCAGGACCTTTGAACTGAGCTATACTCTACTCATGAAGGTAGGTCCCTGTCCTCCATTTTTTTTCTCTCTCTCTCTGATAAGGTCTGGCTAAATTGCTAGATTTCCAAGGCTGGGTTCTAATTCACAATCCTTCTGTCTCAGTCTGTCTCTCTGCTGAAATTACAGGTGTGCACCACCACACCTAGCAACCAAACCCAGCTTCTGCATACCTGCTACACCCCCAAAACCATTCTTCACAGTCCTACTTAAGCCAGCCCCACCTCTACCCTCCTCCAAGTCCTGGAACTGGTAGTGGCTCTGCTGCTCATACAGCAGCAGTTGTTCCACAAGTCCCCAATTCTGCTGCATAGGTTGGTTCCCCTCTGCCAGGTGTAGACACCATGGGGCACCCACCTTGTTGTACTTAGAGTGCAGCCAGAGCAGGTAGTAGAGGAGGCCCTGGTAGACAGCAAGCGACTTCTTGCTGTGGAAGCCCGAGCTCTCCAGGATATGGGGTGGCCGAGCCCGGTAGCATTCCTCACGCGTGTAGGCCTGAGGGTTGGGCAGGTTCAGCAGGCTCAGCATGGTGAAGGGGCACTGGTTGGTGAAGGTCAGCACCATATGGCTCCTGCACAGCAGGGGAGTGGGGTGGGGGGAGAGCAGTTGTCCAAGGCGCCCACTGCTGGACACTGCTAGCCTCCCAGGCCTCACGCTCACCTTGCCGCTGGCTCCCCAAATCTAATCCAGCCCTGTGCCTCAGCCCCTCTTCCCAGTGCCCTCTCAGCACACTCATTGGCTGTCCTGGTGCCTCAGATCAAAGGCCCTGCCCTCCACAGCCAATCCACCAAGCCTTGTTTTTTGCTTTTGGTTTTTTGTTTGTTTGTTTTTTGTTTTTTGGTGCCTTGTGTTATATGTGTGTGGTGCACCTGTGTATGTGTGTTACTAGGGATTGAATCGAACCCAGGGCCTTCACAATGACCTAAGTCCCCAGCCTCCTCTTCCTTTTTCTTTTTATCATTTTATTCGTTTATTTATTTATTTATCGTGGCCAGCTCAGCCCACTCTGGGGGCGGGGTTGGTGTGGCATGTGGTGCCATGGACTGAACCACGATACCTGCACAATTGTCTAAAGTTGCCTAAGCAGGTGCTTTAGACCACTGAACTATCTTGCCGGCCTTCCTTTTTATTCTTCTTATTGTAAGACAGTATCTTCCTAAATTGTCCTACCTGCTTTTGAACTTTTTTTTTTTTTAATACAGGGTCTCCCTACAGTTATGACTAGACTTGAAGTTCCTTAGTAGTCCAGGCTGGCCTCAAACTTGTGGCAGTCCTCCTGTCTCAGCTTCTTGAATGCCAGGATCATAGGCATGTGCCGCTGCTCACAGCGTTTTTTAAAACTTTTGTTTTAAGATAGGAGCTTAGGATGGACTTGAACTATGTAGCCCAGGTCGCGTGTGAACCTTCAGTTATCTTTCTACCTGAACCTTTCAAATGCTAGGATTACAAATGTGTGCTAGAACATGCCTGGCTGAACATGTGATTCTCTTTTTGATTTGTTTTTTGTTGCTGTCAACTTGTGATTCCTCAATGCCCATTCTCCTTTCTTCCCCCGCGCCCTCGTACATGGTCCCGCTCCAGCCCAGCACAGGAGCCAGGACCTCCCCACCCGGCTAATTCTCTTCACTCTTCAGGATCCAGCTCTGCCTCCTTCCCCGTGAGGCCCTCCTTGATTCGCCCTCCCCGGATCTGGCTCCTCCTTTGAGCTTTACAGGTGCTGAGCTCCCTCATTTCAGCCTGGAAGGTGCTGCTCCTAGGGTTGGGGCTTCTGGGGCCACCTGTGGGGTCCCCATCCTTTTACCCCTGCTGATGCAACTGGTAGTGGCTCTGCTGCTCATACAGCAGCAGCTTCTCCACAGGCACAGGCCTCTTGACCAGGTGACCCTGCCCGTGGCCCTCGAGGAGGTACACCAGCTGTGGGAGGAAGGCAGCCAGTGAGGTGCTGTCAGTACCGTGCGGTGAGCGCCCCCGTGTGGCCCCGAAGCACCCTGGGCACCTGGTACAGCTCCCTGTCTTCGTAGAAGAAGGTGACCGAGGTCTCATTGGGGGCATAGAGAGAGGACTGTTGCAACATCTGCAGACTGGAGTGGATGCTCCAGCCTCGGGACGGGAACAGTCGGTACACGTGGTAACTGCCCTCCAGGAGGTACCATATCTGTAGGGCAGCAGGCCTTGTGTCTGGGCTGAGGGGACCTCCAGTCACACCCTCCCTCCACCCAGGGCTGCCCCATACTGTGGGGCCAGGCGAGCCCCATCCTGCTCTGCAGTGCCAGCTCTCTACGTGCCCAAGCCCTGCCACTTCAGGTTCCAGCCCATGCCAGAATGTTCGTTCGTTCGTTTGTATTTGTTTTTTTCTTTCTTTCTTCCTTCCTTCTTTTCTTTTCTTTCTGAGACAGAGTCTTGCTATGTAATCTAGGGTAGCCTTGCACTGTGATCCTCCTGCTGCAGCCTCCTGAGTGCTGGTGCTATATGAACTTGACAAAAACTCTTACCCTCTCTGCGTTCCAGGGTTCTGTAATGAATGGAGCTTCTGGTGCCCTTTCCCGGGATCCCTGATGATGCTCCCACTCTCAGCCCCTTTACCCTAACAGGGGAGGTGGATTTGGGCTGAGCAAAGGGGGAGGAGGGAGTGGGTCAGGGAAGCCTACCTCTTCAGTCTCCGTGATAATAGCAATGTCCCCACCAAATGAATTGACCAGGTATTTGATGCTTAACTCTTTGGGGAAACCCGCCAGGTAGGTGTAGTTTTCTTCATTGTAGCTACAAGGGGCAAAGACAGAGAGCTCAGAAAATGGGCATCCCAAGTAGCTGCTCCTCAGCACCAGGACTAATATAACACTGGTCCCACTGACCAGATCTCTGCTAATTTGTGAGCCGGTGCAAAGGGACCTGGACTCCTAGCTTCTGCCCCTACCCACACCCATGGTGACCTTCTGTCCTCAGAGCCCCTGTCTCCCCATTTATAGGACAGAGCAGCTTGCTGTCCAGCACAGCAGTGGTAAGAAAGTGGAAAGACCCTAAACTGTCCTCAGAAAATGTGCTTCCACTGATTATTATTATTATTATTATTATTGTACTGGGGATTAAACTCTGGACCTTGCACTTGCCAGGCAGGTGCTTGTGTCACTGAGCTATCTCCTTGTCCCCTGCTTTTTATTTTTTTATATATTCCGCTGTTTATTTATTTATTACATTTATTTATTGTGTGTGTGTGTGTGTGTGTGTGTGTGTGTGGCCAGCTCAGCCCACCAGGGGGCTGGGCTGGCTGGCATGTGGTGCTGGGGGATTGAACTGTGGTCCCTGTGCTTTGCCAAGCTTGTTCCAAGTAGGTGCTTTAGACCACTGAGCCATCTCTCCAGCCCCATGCTTTTTAAATCTGTTTATTGAGACAGGGTCTCAGAGTCTCATTATCTGTATAGTTGAGGCTGACCTTGAACTCACTATGTATGCAGTCCAGGCTGGCTTTGAACTGGGGTCACAGGCGTGAGCCACCACATCCAGCCACATAAAGTTTCACTTCAAGACTCCCAGAAGTGATAGCACAAGCCTATAATCCTAGCGCTCTAGGAGGCTGAAGCAGGAGAACCACAAGTTCCACCCTGATGGAACAATGTAGCAAGACCCTGTCTCAAAATTATAAAAACAAAAAGGGCTGGTGATATAGCTCAGTGCGAAGGCTCTGGGTTCAATCCCCAGCACCACAGATACATATACATATATTTTGTTCCCTGCTCTCAGTCATGACATAGTCACTGGAGCCTTCTCTGAAGGCTTAGTGACTTCTGAAAGCCCCCCACACACACACACACAGTGGGGCTGGGAGACACACTGCCTGGGCACCCAGGATGGGGCCCTTCCCACCTCTGCAGGAGGAAGTTGCCCCAGATGATCAGCACGTTGTTGTAGGTGTTGAAGAACATGCCCTTGGGCACCATGGGGGAGTTGGTGTACTTCTCCGTGCCTACCATCATCAGGAACTCCAAGCCCCGAGCTGATTGGAGCAGAAGAGAAAAAAAATACAGCATACAAACAGGATCACCTGGGTTCCTCTGGTCCCTATCCACTTTGGGGGCCACCCCTGCCTTCCCTTCCTACCATCAGGGATGAAATTGGGGATGATGTAGAGGACTTCCATGTCATCACTGACTGTGGGTGAGAACACAGCAGAATCTCCTAAAGCCTCAAGCTTATGAAACCTGAATCTCGGGCTAGCTTTGGGCCCCCTCTACTCCCTAAAACCCTCGGCAAGGCTTGCTTCCCATTTGGGCCAGAATTCCTCAAGGTGAATTCTAAGAATGTTCTGCCTCCAAGAGGATGCAGTCTAATTAAGGAATGAGACTTATCTCCTCTGGCCCTAACTGGGGTTTTCTGCGGCACATGGCCGTACAACTAACTGTATCTGGTAGTCTGGTTCGCACTGCAAGTGAAATGAAATCCAACTTAGTTTTCATGCACTGCCCAGCCTTTCTGGGGCTGGCTTTACTCGCTTCAGTCCCACTCCCTGAGTGGTCGGTCTCTTGCGTTTTCTCCAGCCCACCAGAGCCTCTCTCCACTCTACTATCCCTTTTTATCCCCATCCAGGATTGAATCCTGGGTCTTCATCCCAGTCTTTTTATTGTTCTCCAGTTTTTGTTTCGTGAAAACAGGGTCCCTAAATTGCCCAGGTGGAACTTGTGATCCTCCTGCCTCGGCCTTTCTCAGTGCTAGGATTGCGCAAGCACCAGCTTTTACCTCCTTATCTATGTTTGACTTGAACAGTTCCCCTCACTTCCTGTGTCTGCCTAGAAGATCTCCTGAATGGAGCCCCAGTCTGGTCACCCGACCCCCATCACCCTAGTTACTCAGCCTGTAGCGGACCACGCAGAAAGACTTGGCTTTAAGGTCCTGGATCTCCACCAGCAGTAGGATGGTGTACTCGTCCGAGAGGAACTCGGCCCACATAATGGAGCAGTTGCCAACTGAGAATGGAGGGCAGGTCTACAGAAGCCCCGGACCCAGCCACCCACTGCCTCATCGTGCGAGGAACCCACCCCTGTTGGCCCTCCCCTCCCACCACCATGCAGGCTCCTCCCCCATCTCGCCTTTGCCCACAACCCCCTCTCCACCACCCCTCCACCCGGTGGGAAGTGCAGTACCAGAGATCTGCTCACACACGGACCTGCCCTTGGGCAGCATCTCGAAGGACACACGGCCCTCTGTGGAGTGAAAGTATGCTCAGGCCCTTCCCACCCTGCTGCACCCCACTAGCGCCCCACAGGGGCCTCCCAGTGTCCCCCCTCCTCCTCCCCCTCCGTGCCAGGGGACCTTTCCCAGTGCAGCGAGTCTGCCTCTGGGCGCAGGAATGGGCTCACCTCCAGCTCAGGGAGAGGGGGCTTCCCCCACCCCTTGCAGAGAGCCCCGGGCCTCTGCACTGAGCTCTATCCCCAAACTCTTTCCTTACACTTCTATTTTGAGATAGGGACTTGCTACATTGCTAGCTTGCACAGGTTGGGTGTGCACTTGCAATCCTCCTGCTTCACTCTCCCAGAATTCTAGGATTACAAACTTGTACCGCACCATCCAACACCACAGGGAAAATCTACTTCAAAACCAAAGCATAGGGTGGATGATAACAAACCTTTAATAGTACAAACCATGGCCCTGGCCCAGTTCTAAGACTGTTATGCACCAACTTCCTTTCTCTTTATATCAATGGAAACAAGTAGGTGCTACTATTATCATTCGGCCCCATTTTGCAGATAGGGAGAAAGGTCAGTGAGGTCTAAAGCCACACAGCTAGGGTGTGAGAGAGCAGTTTCCCTCCAAAATCTGCGATAGTAAGTCCCTATGCTATACTACCTTGCCCAGAGACCGAATCTGATACACACATATCCTGTAGGCCTCTGGATCCAGCCATGCCTGAAGCTGACATCTGGCCTTTTCATTTTCAGATCTACAAATAATGTTTAAAGGAGTTTTTAATTGACCTTCTGCCCTTGGTAACCCAAAATGTACTGAAAGATATATAACATATCCCTGAGCCTTATCTCTACAAAGGAACATACGCGTGCACACACACTCACTCCCGAGCTGATCTGGGACACTGCTGAAGGGCACACTGAGCAGGAGGAGAGGTCTGGAGGGGTCTTGGTCCCCTTACCGGTGATGGTCCCGAAGTGCATATAGCCCTCATGCTTGCCAGTGGTGAGGGCCATGATGTACTCAGAGCCATTGCTGTGAAAAAGCACCGGACACAGCCTTTTGATGCACTCAGTGGCCAGGACCCGAACCCAGCTGCCTGGAGGGGGGGGGGGACAGCACAGGGCCTCAGGCCAGGTGGCAGGACCTGTGCCTGGGCCACACCTTGGGGTGGTGTCTGGTGACCCTGGGCAGTGGCAGCATTGTTTTTGGGAAAAGTCCCCTTCCCGGTCCTCTGTCCCTGAGGTCCAGCTGGTGTAGGCCCCTTTCTCACTTCCCTGGCCAGGGCCACTGGTTCAGAACAGGACATGAACAAGCCAGGCAAAGCGGAGTGCATCCTGGCTTACAGCCATAGCAGAAAAGCCTTTGCTGTTCTCAGTCCAGCCGCACATGCCTGAAAGCCACATGCTCCTGGGCTGTCAGCTAGGAAGCTCAGACACAGCACTTTTCTGTGGCTTAAACTGATTTTCGCTGGATTTCTCCCACTGTCCCAGGGCCCTAAAGGAGGAAAATGGGGTGGCTGGGAGAATGCGTTAATGTAAATTATGGCACTTTTTTAGGTACGCAATTTGCAGAGAGGGGGGTGTGCTGTTCCCAGCTCTTTATTTTGAGACAGGGTCTTACTTCTGACTTTCTTCTGACTTCTTACTTTCTTCTGACACGCTATATGTTCCCCCATCCATGTCTTTCTCTCTTTCTGACTTGTCTTTTTTTGTATTGGGAATTGAACTCAGGACCTTGCACTTGCCAGGCAGCCAGTGTGTCACTGAGCTATCTCCTCAACCTTTATTCTTCTTTTTTTCTTTCTTTCTTTTTCTTTCTTTCTTTCTTTCTTTCTTTCTTTCTTTCTTTCTTTCTTTTTTTTCTTTTTTTGTAGTACTGGGGATTAAACAAGCACTCTACCAACAAACAACTCCCCAGCCCTTTTCTTTTCTTTTTTTTTTCTTTTTTCTTTTCTTTCTGAGACAAGTTCTTGCTATGTAGTTCACTGTGTATCCCAGGCTGGCCTCAAACTTGTGGCAATCCTCCTGCCTCAGTCTCCCAAATGCTGGGATTACAGGCACGCACCATCACACCTGGCTTCATTTTTTATTTTAAATAGAATCATTTCTACTTGTTTGTTTGGTACTGATGACCAAACTCAGGACCTTGAGCTTGCCAGGCAGTTGCTCATGCCACTGAGCTATCGCCCCAGCCTAAAGTAGAATCTGGTTAAATCACTAAGTCACCCACATTGGGTGTGAAGTTTCAGTCTTCCTGCCTCAGCTTCCTGAGTAACTGGGATTATAGATGTGTGACACCATCTTGGTTGGTTTGTCATCCTGCCATTTTGCCTGTGTGCGACTGTGGCTTCCTTTTGCTCTCTGTCCCTTCCCTCCTGCTTGTGCTTCCTTCTTGTAGTTGATTCATGGTGGTGGTGGTGGTGGTGGTGGTAGAAAATCCCAGAGAGCCCAGCAGGGTGGTTCATAACCTTGGTTGGTCCCTCCCTTCTACCAACAGCAATTCCAACTCCAACCCCAGGATCTCTGGGGGTCCCTTTGCCCGAGGTGGCCCTCACCACTGCTGTGGCTGCGGTTGAAGAGCGTAGCGTAGGTTCCTGTGAAATAGTAGACAAGCTGGTTCTGCCGAATGAAGAGGGTGCTCTCTGTGGAGACGGCATCATAGATGGTGGCCGAGAAGTCAGCCTGGGGGCAGTAGAAGGAGCCTACCCAGCAACTGTCAATGCTCAGCTGCAGGGGGCAGAGGACATGGTAAGCAGACGACCTAGACCTCAAGCCCCACATCCTGCCAGGGGGTACCTCCTGCTCTAACCACCTGGGATGGAGGGACAGAGTAGCAGCTGCAGGTGCTCTCTCTGCCCACCTGCGGCTGCACCTTGAGAGCCAAAGTTCCCCAGCATGGGGCAGGGAAGCAGACATCCCCACCACAGCCACCTGGACGTTTTGTCCCTCTTGGAGCATTATACAGCACGCTCAGTGGCATTTGGAAGTCCTTGTGCCCCTCGCTACAAATACAAAATATACTGTGTTTGACTTAAGGGAAATTTAGATAATTCCAGTCTACTGTAAATCCACTTCACTGTTGGGTTAACACCACCTGAATCCATGGACAAGTACTAACACTGACATCTCGAACAGTGGCAGCACCTCTGATCCAGAGTTATAGATTTTAAAACGAAATCTAAATTAAATTTCTAGAACTTACTACCAGTTTATAGGTATATGGTTGATGCACGCCAAACCACACCGACACCCCCCCGCCCCGTTCATGGGTTGAAGCCCAACATGAATGCATTTAGAGATACAGTCTTTTTTTTTT